TAGTTTATAATATTAGTGCTAAATTATTAAACTTTTTGAGTTTCTTATAGAATAAGAGGCCACAGCACCACGCGGGTCCTATCAAAATAAAAAAAATTCCCGAATGACCAAGACATGTAGCTCCAATTATGCCAAAATCTGTGTGGCAGTACACAAAACCAAACAAAGTTTAGCTATTTTTCTTAGAAAGATAAATGTCTACTTCAAATAGTCTACACACAATACAAAATTTTTGTGTTGCTTAAATAAAGTATTGTTTTACTTTTCGGCAAATTTTATGTCAAAGCAGTTACCAATTCGAATATAATTCAAAGCAATTATCTTGCTAATCTTCTAATCCGGACTAAAGTTGCAACTAACTTAGAATTAGAAATTCCGTGAAATTCGGACATGTCCAAAAATCTTGTCACACTATAATTAGGGTTCGGAATCAACATGATGGAGGAAGCGTTAGTGATTAAGTAAACGCGAGACCTGAACTAAATACGCCAGCCAAACGTGACTGCAAGATAGCAGATTAAAGAACGCATCACAATTAGTGAGAGCTACCATTGTAATTGTTAGAGAGCCCGGCGTCTATAATTTTATATACTAAGTTCTGTGAAGTCAGCAAGAGGTTGTTTAATTAACTTTGCAGTTGGGATGCAGGTATGCTATGCCTAGATTTTAAATTTTTAATGAGATGCAATTGAAACAATGCCACCGTTTATTGTCGTCTTGGCTGGATAATCTAATATTTATAAAGCAGTTTAAACGGTTATTTAAAAATGATGGGTATCTGATTCTCTTAAATGACCACCTAATAATTTATTGTTTTTAGAACATCTTAGTATTAGTTAAAAAATATTGACACTATCATAAAATTACTATTTAAATGGGAATAAGCCACAATTAAAAGTTAAAATATGTCAATAAACGTATTTTAACCTTTAATTGTGGCTTCTATTAATCTGTCTATACAGCCCAAAACATCCATCCTTGGATATAGGCCTCCTCCTCCTTCTTCCATGCCTCTCTATCTTGCGCCATTTGCATTCATTTTGACCCGGCCTGTTTCTTCAGGTCATCTGACCATCGCATTTGTGGCCTTTCCCTTTTTCGTTTGTGATTCCATGGTCTCCAATGTTTAATTGTCTTAGTCTATATTTCATCTTTCTGCCTTAGGGTGTGTCCGGCGAACTTCCATTTAAGCTTTGCTACTTGGATTGAGACATCTGTCACTTTTGTTTTAACACGGATCCATTCGTATCTTTTTCTGTCTGATAGTTTAATGTTTAGCATTTGTCTTTCCATGGATCTTTCTGTTTTTGCTATTTTTTCCATATTTTCCTTTGTAAACGTCCATGTCTGAGAGCCATATGTGAGGACAGGGAGTATACATTGATTGAAAACTCTCGTTTTTAGGTATTGGGGGTATTTTGAATTCTTTAGAATATAAGACAGTTTTCTGAATGATGCCCATGCCAATCTTATTCTTCTCTTTATTTCTTCGGTCTGATTGTCTTTATTTAATTTAGTGATTTGGCCTAGATATATATACTCTTTTACTTGTTCTATTCTTGTTTGTGCCACTGTAATTATTAATTCTTCTGGTTGATTAGTCATGGTTTTTGTTTTACTGTAATTCATCTTGAGTCCAATTTTTGTGGATTCTCTATCTAGTTCTTCCATTATTCTTTGTAATTCTTCACTTTTTTCTGTTAATAATACAATATCATCAGCATATCGTAAATGATTCAGATTTTGCCCGTTTATGTTAATTCCCAAGCCATCCCAGTGTAGTCGTTTGTAAACATCTTCTAGCGCTTGGTTAAATAGCTGGGGTGAGATGGTATCTCCTTGTCTTACTCCTCGGTTTATTTTAATAGGCTCCGTTTGTTTCATTAGCTTAATAGTTGTTGTTGCCTTGTTGTATATATTTGTAATTAAGTCGGTATATCGGTAGTCTGTTCTGCTGTTTTGTAGGGAATTCTGTACTGCCCAGTGTTCCACACTATCAAATGCCTTCTCGAAGTCAATAAATGCCATGTAGAGCGGGATATGATATTCGTAAGTTTTTTTGATTAAAATCTTCATCGTTAAAAGGTGGTCACTTGTACTGAAGCTCTTTCTAAATCCGGCTTGTTCTCTTGCCTGGTATCCATCTAATTTAGTTGTTAATCTATTTGTTAATATTTTGGTTAATAGTTTGTACATCACATTTAGTAAAGTAAAAATTGTGGCTTATTCCCATTTAAATAGTAATTACTGTAAAATGCCACAAGAAAATAACTTCAGGACAATAATATCATAAAAAATCAACATTTTGTGTCATTTGACATGTTATTTAACTGTAATAGCTCTTTTTTTAGTACTAATTTTTCTAGCTGTATTTTTTTGTTTACTAATCACTATTTTTTCTTTTTTTCTTAATTGCCATATTGCAAGTTTCCAGTAATAGCCTAAGAATGTATCCATTGAATTTTGACAGGCAACGGTGGGGGAAATTTTTTTTTATCTACGTCACGGAACAGGATACCCTGGCATCTTTCGGCCAAGTAGGATACTAGATCAGAAAACCCCAGGGTCGTGCCAGATTAACCGTGACCTAAAACCTTAACCGCCGTTCCAGAGAGATGGTATTACCACTCAATCTTCTTTGTCAACCATTTTCCATCCACTCCTGAATGTAGGTCTCTCCCAATTGCTTCCATCTTTCTCTATCTTGCGCCAATCTAATCCACTGTTTACCTGCCACTGCTCTTATGTCATCTACCCATCTTTTTTGAGGTCTTCCCATGCTTCTTGTTGTTGTCCTTGGTCTCCATTTCTCGAATTCTCCGGTTTTTGTTTTACTGTAATTCATCTTGAGTCCAATTTTTGTCGATTCTCTATTTAGTTCTTTTATCATTCTTTGTAATTCTTCACTTTTTTCTGTTAATAATACAATATCATCACCATATCGTAAACGATTCAGATTTTGCCGTTTATGTTAATTCCCAAGCCCTCCCAGTGTAGTCAATCCACTCAATAAAAAACTAAAATAAAAAACTAAGAATTTATAAATAACTATATATTATTATTAACTATAAATTTTAGATCCCTGGCTCAATTTCCTCCTCTGTCCTCCTGGTCCTTTTTCTTCATCACTAAGAAAATCAGACAGTGTACTTCTGTTCATTATTTCCCTCGTTTCAGCATTAAATTTACAGTTTCTTTCCCCAGTACCCCACAAATAGTAGGAGTCTGCCGAGGCAGATTTGCCTATTCTATTTGTGAAGGTGCCATATACTACCATGTCCGGTTAGAAATCGCGTCAGAAAGTAGTCTAGTTTCGTGAACTTACATTTCCACCGCGGTCTCAGATCGGGAATAAGCTCCTTCGTCGACCCTGCCTTTCCACTATCATTCGCCCATTCTCTCTGCCACTGTACTATCGTTCTTTCTCTCTCATTCTTATCTACATTTACATCCATCGGTATCACCGCTCCAATGACATATAAAGTCTCATTTGAAACTGTCCTAGATGTGCTAGATACTCTGAGAAGCATTTGTCTTTGCGAAGTCTCCATCAGCTTAGCGTATTTCGCAGTATTTAGTATGCTACACCACAAGGGGACAGCGTAGGTGACCACCGACTAGAAAACTCCATTTAGCATCTTTCTGTTGGTGCTACCTGGACCTCCAATGTTTGACATTAGCCATATCAACGCCTTCAGATTTTGGCTTGCCTTCTCTACTGTCTATTGGATGTGTATTCCAAACCTTAGTTCTTCCGACCACCAGACTCATATACTTAATTGATTTAATCGGGGCAACCTCCACAACTTCCACTATAAAGCGAAGAGAGGATTTTTCCCGGGTCCCTTTGAGAACTAACACCTTAGTTTTCTGAAGCGCTAGCTATAGATCATTCTCTCTGATCCACCAACTAATGCGACGCAGGGCTATATTAGCTGCATTAGGCATGTCAGCTTTCTGACTCGTCTTCGTGACCAGTGCGAGATTATCGGCATAAGCTACAAGAGTAGAACCCCTTGGCATCTGTAGCCTCAACACGCCGTCGTACAGGACATTCCACAGGATGAGACGTAGTACTGAACCCTGCGGAACATCCTGCGACAAACTGATGCTGGTATTTTTTTTCTTATGGACCTGTCAGTAAAGTATCTGTCAATTACGTTGACCAGGTACTTCTTCTTATTTGAGTGCCTTTCCTATCGGAGATTGGATATCATTAGGGCGATTCTAATTTTATCTACTGCTGTTTTAAATAGTTCGTTAGAGGTACAGCCAAACCACTTTCTTAAATTTCTCATCCAGGACATATTTCAGACATAGAAATAAAACGTGAACGCTTAAAGTATCGATCATAAACAAAACTGAAGCGTTGGCAATGTGGGTTCATAGACGAATGCTGAAGATACCATGGACAGCAAGAAAAACTAATGAAGAAGTACTCATCAACAAAGACAGGGAACTGCTAAAGACTGTTAAACATCGAAAAATGTCTTATCTGTAACATAAAGTAAGGGGGAGTCGATATAAAATTTTGCAACTGATCCTTAAAGGTAAAATAGAGACCGTAGAGGTGTAGGAAGAAAACAAGTTTCTTGGTTAAAAAATATTCATGAATGCACTTAGATACCAAATGCAGGACAATTATTCCATATTGCAGAAGATCGAGAAGCCTTCACAATGGCGATCGCCAACGTCATATAATTCTGATATGGCACGCGAAGAAGAAGGTTAAGATTCATGCTTGGCCGGTAATGCAGATTCAACGCTTATCGACAGTGACATCAGAATGGACGTTGATCGTCTGTCTCAAGTACCGATACTCTGTTGTATTAACAGAATGTATAATTATAAATTAATTATACGTTAATGTAATTGTTATTTTTTCGTTATTTATTGAAAAATTGGTGTGATTTTTGTTCCTAAATTATACAAAAAGTCTGAACATGTACTTTTGATACACTTTGACACTTTAAAGGGCTTTTATCACCCCTATCACTTACATATCTCTCCCTATATCAATATTATTCGAAGGTAACATCATTCTAGCGTACTAACCTTATCCAATAAATTAAAAGACAAACGTTCTTAATAGATCCTTATACATAAATCGCATTAGATGCTCCAATAATTGGACCTAAACTATGACGGTGCAGAACCATCTGAGCAATTACACAGGCTCGAATCAAATCTGCTTCTACGTTAAGAGGTAGTTTGAAGTTCATCGTGTAAAACGGATTAGAGAAAGGGCGTTTTCCCCCGTTAAATTTCTCGTCCATCGTTCAATTTCGCACAAACCCGATAGCTTCTTATTAAACGAAACTCAATATGCGAGGTAGAGAAATTTTGCAAGTCACTATTTCCAGCAATAATTGACTATAAGAGGTAATTTCGATAATACTCTTAAATTTTGTAATATAATTTAATGCAATATTAGAAGAGATCATTTTGTCAGTCAAATTCTAACAAGCTTAAAAGTAAGTCTAACAAAATTTTTAATTAGTAGTAATAATAGTTGTAATAAAGTGAATTTATTTCCAAATAAACTGATCAAATGAGTCATGACAATGAAAAATAAGAAAGCTTAGGATTAATATCAAAACGCTAATATAAAAACGCTTTGATTGAGTTTCCACATCATTATATTGGTTCTTGGTCAACAAAGTTCAATAAAAATACTAGATTCATGTTTATATACAGTGCTTTTCAAATAAAACTATTCACCTTAAATAATTTTTGAACTTCTATTCTTTAGGAAAGGTGCAAAAATGCGTCAATTGCTATCTGAAGTGGGAAACATTATGCCATATTTAAACTTGCTGAGAAAACACCCTTTCACCCCCATCCCCCATCTCAGTCCTTAGGTTTTCCAAATCTCAACAAGAGTGGTCTACTTAAACATCAAAATAAACGCCAGATATATCCTAAAGTTCATTCAAGTGTACGCCCCTACTACAGGACATCCAGACGAAGAAGTCCAAATATTCTACGACCAAATATCCTGTGCAATCAAGAAAAATCCTGGCCACTTCTTAATAATAGGTGGTGACTTTAACGCCAAAATAGGCACTAAGGAAGACCCCTCTGAAATAATATTGGAAAATTTTGGAAGCGAAGGCAGAAATGATAGGGACAAACAACTACTGACTTTCCTTTTGGAAAACAATCTCTATCAAATGAACAGCTTCTTTAAAAAGTAAAAACACAGAAGATGGACATGGGAAAGTCCTGATGGAAAAACAAGGTCGTTCCTTGTTTTTGACTATTTTTTAACAAACAAAAAAGAATTATTTAAAGACGTAAATGTGCTAAACCAGTTCAGTACAAGCAGTAATCATAGGTTAGTAAGAGCTAAAATAACGATATCAACTGAAAAAGAAAGACTCAAAATGATAAATTAGAAACAACCAAAGAAATGGATAAAACCAACTGACATTCAGAAGTTCGAAAAATATATTGGAAATTCATTGAAAGATACAGCAACAACTGACATCAATATATTGAACAAACAATTAGTCAACACAATACAACAGGCTCAAACTAAATGTTGTCCGACAAGCAAAAAAGATAAAAAACTGAGTCAACCCACGAAAACCCTTATAGAACTAAGGCGACAAATGAAAAGAGATAACACTGCAAGCAAAGAAGCGATAAATCAAATAAATAAGACGATCACAAAAGCAATAAGAAAAGACATAAGAAACTACAATGTAGAAAAAACAAAACAGGCAATGGAGAAAAATAAGAACATGAAAGTTTTGAAGAGGAGCGTATAAAAGGGGAAAATAGAAATTAACAAACTGAGAAACAGAACTGGAGAAGAAACAACGAACAGAGATGAAATAATAATAATAGTCGAAGAGTTCTACATAGAGTTATATAGATCAAGAAAAAAAGATAACAATACGGAACCTCCAATTACACTAAAAACTGGGGTATTAAACCAAGGATCAGATTTAATGCCCAATATAACAAAATCAGAAATCAAAGAAGCCCCGAAGAAAATGAAAAATAATCGAACCCCGGGTGAAGATGGAATAGTATCAGAAGCACTAAAAATTGGAGGGGATGTATTACTTGAAAAAATTAAACAACTTCAATATCTGCTTTCACAGCGCCAATATTCCAACAGACTGGAACAACGCTACTATGATTCTATTACACAAAGCAGGAGACAAAGCAAATTTAGAGAATTACAGACCGATTAGCCTCCTCAGCCATATATATAAGTTGTTTACGCGAATACTAGTTAAGAGAATGCAAAGAAAATTAGAGACTTATCAACCAAGGGAACAGGCAGGATTCCGAAAAAGTTACGGAACAAATGACCATCTACAAAGTATAAAAACCCTAATAGAGAAAACAGTGGAATACAATAAACCTCTAGTTCTAATATTTATCGATTTTCACAAAGCCTTTGACACAGTTAAGCTAAGCAAAATATTACAGGCGCTCAAAGAATGCATGCTAGATTATAGATGTACTAAATTATTATACAAAATATACCTGCAGGTAACAACCACTGTCAGATTACATACTAACAATAATCGCATAAAAATAGAACGGGGGGTTAGACAAGGAGACCCAATATCACCTAAACTTTTTATTACGGTGCTAGAACATGCTTTTAAGAATTTGGATTGGATGACAAAGGGAATAAAAATAGATGGAGAATATCTAAACAACTTACGTTTCGCCGATGATATACTTATAATAGCTGAAGATCTAGGTATGGCAAGAGAGCTGGTACAGGAACTCGTTGTGACTACAGAAAATGTAGGTTTAAATATAAATGAATATTAAAAGTAAATAGAACTCGTAGATAGATATAAATACCTGAAACATGAAATTATGATTGGCAGAGATAACCAGACCCATGAACTGAAGAGAAGAGTGGGCCTTGGGTGGGTAGCATTTGGAACACTGAGAGAAACTTTTAAAAGTGAGCTGCCCACATGCCTAAAGAGAAAGGTATTTGATCAGTGCGTCCTACCAGTCTTGACGTACGGAGCAGAAACACTTACCTTAACAAAAGCAGCAGCTACCAAACTGAGAGTCACGCAGAGAAGAATGGAGCGGTCCATGTTAGGAATAACTCTCCGAGACAGAATAACAAACGAAGACATCAGGAGAAGAACTGGAGTGACTGAAATCATCGAGAAGATAGCCAGACTAAAATGGAGATGGGCAGGACACATACCCAGAATGACAGATGGGCGATGGACAAAGAGGTTATTGGAATGAAGGCCAAGGGAAGACAAGAGAAGCGTCGGTCGACCACCTACAAGATGGACTGATGATTTAAGAAGACTCAATAAAAACTGGATAAGAGCGGCGCAAGATAGACGGGGTTGGAAACATGAGGTAGAGGGCTATGTTCAGCAGTGGACTCTTGAGGCTGGATGATGATATCAGTCCTTAATTTGAATTACGATAATGAAGGCACCATATTTGTAAATCCTCTTTACATAATTTACTATTAGAATCCCAAAATCTTAAAATCAAGTAAATCAAAGTTAATAAAGGTAAATAGTCTTTATAAATATACTTGTTTTATGCCTTTCTATAAATCATACTATTTTAAAACATAAACACGGCAAAAGAGACAGAAATCCAAACATCTACTGTTATCAAAACCTGTCAACCGCCGGCCGCCTCCAAGAAATTCACAAACGTTCAAATATTTCCAACTGTTTACATGAAACTGAAATGTTTTCTCAGAATCCGCTTTACAGGTTTCATAATTTAATAGAAATTTACTTACCACGTCTTCCATTTCGTCTCCACCTTAGTGGATTATATAAGATGTCATTTTCAGACCAACTTTCACCTCAGGCGGGCTTATGCAAAAGCAGAAGATCGCTCGAGAAGCAACGGACGAAATTTTCTCCATCTGGATATTAATATAAGTTAAGGCGTATTACCCCATACTATATATTTATGAAAAGTGTAAGTGTACTTATATATATTACAATATTGCTCTGAGCAGCTACTTGGGAACATGAAACTTTTCATTAGTAAGCGAAATATTAAAAAATTTAGCATATTTCCTGCCATCTTTTATAAGAGGGAAATTTATATTAAATCTAACCATCTCATTATATGCATATCGGTTTGAGAATCTATACAGGTTTTTGTAAACTTTTGTTAATTTTTCGTTAAACAATAATATGTATCAGGTTTTGATTTATTGAATTATTTTTTAAATCTTGGTAAAACAATCAGAGGTCATAATCTTAATCTTATACTATAAATGTGATTATACAAAATTTTATTATAGTGTGTTTCTTTGGATAAGTAACATACGTTAAGGCTGTTTTCGCAGTTATAGCATACTGCGATTTGAAGTGGGCATATCACTTACTTTTCTACATTGCTATGTCAGACCCTACGTGACCTCCTAATAGTTTGGATGTTTATTCAGTGGCGCCGGCCCACGGGTTGTTTAAAATAAATGCATTATTCTCCATTCAAATTAGTTTTGTCGGAATACTTTTTTTTAGATTAATTATCGTAGATAATGTTTTAAAAAGAATTAATCACATTTTTAATTTATATGTCTTAGCTAAACATAGTATTAAATAAAAATTTGTGAAACGTGACTGCAAAAAACACCATAGTGTTTATTTATAATAAATTTAAATTTTGTTATATTAATATTAATATATAATTAATATTTTGTTAATATTTGTTAGAGAAAACTGATATTAGCGTAGTAAAAATTAAACAAAAAATATTTTTATTTATCTATAAAAAATTGGTACCTGCGAAACCATCATAATAGTAAATGTATTTATCTGGCAAGTATTTCGAGGCGACGCACTGCGAGGAAAATGTTCTCTGAATGGCATATACATTATTTTAATATATTTATAGGTTGCAGTTACATAAGAAAAGTATCCAATTGATGAATAAAACACAAATCGTGGATAGTTATTTCATCATATCAGTGGTATTACAGCTCGTCATGAGCCAAAGGCTTCTTCAGAACAATCTTCCATTCGCCCCTGCCTCTGGCAACTTTCTCCATGCTTTAACTCCGAT